AGTGTCTGGCAATACTTAATATTGCGTTTAGAATACTAATATTTAATATTCTCTAAAATATACATACTTATGTACATAGATGCATTTACAAAAATTTGAAGTTTGAATTTAAATAAAGAAGTTAATGTTTTAATTGAATTTAATCGGACTGTCTACTCAAGCTGGCGGTTAAGTGTACATTCCAGACTTAAAAAAAAAAATGTAAAACAAAAAAACCTTTTCTCACAGAAAAAAATATTACTCCTCACAAAGAAGATTAAACAAGAAGATTTACATCGCATCACCCGGGTATTTTACATTTAATCGGCACCGATATATTTATGTATATTATCCGGGTACCCGGGCAAATCGGGTAATACCCGGCTTCACGGGTAATAAAAACCTCGGTTAAGCGGGTTCGTGGGTATCCTCAGCCCTACTTCAAACACATTTTTTGAGAAGAAAATTTGTGTTTAAATGGCATATAAATTTTAAAAGTCACTTAAGAGACAGCCGTTGTATCAATATTGAATTTTTTAGTTAAATATCTCATACATAGTGAACAACTAGGCAAAAATAATTTGAAAAGATTAGCTGGTGGTTCACTTCCGTCATCTTTTACATCATCTTGAGCGTTCATAGATACCACAGGAAACCCCCTTACTTATAGTTGCATTTGATTTGATATCTGTCGAAAGTACTTTGTGCCCAATAGTATGCATGTCTTTAACTTACGATTAGTCATAGGTAAAATTTTTTGCAAAAAAAAGTACCGGCTTGTATGTAATTTACATTATTACAATTTCGTTTCTTTTAAGTATTGTGCTTTGTTTACAATATTATGCGTCACACAAGCTTATATTGTTACACATCTCGCAGCGAGCAACATAATCACAGCCACAGTTCAAAATGTGGAGTTGCTTTGGGAAAGAGAAATGGTGAGCGAAGGTCCCATGGCGAGCATTGAAAGTCGGGTGAGTACAAATGTATAACTTTTTTAGTGCGCATGCTTAAAACCCTTAGATCTTCCGAGATCTTTGAAGAGATTAAAAAAATATTTTGGAGTGAGGCTGTCACCTTTTTAAATAGTTACAAATACGTTTATTTAAAAAAATTTATGATTATTTAATATCACAATGTGGGTATCACAGGGAAGGTGTTTGAACAAGCTTTAACACTTACATTTCTTTGAGTAGGGTTGGCTATCTATCAACTAAGGTCATCATTGTTATTATTTAACTTCTATTATTTAAATAAAAATAAAGATACGAATGTAATTGAAAAATTTTAAGTGGTCAAATTTTATGTCAAAGTGTTTTTGTGGATTTTAAGAATTCTTTTAAAATTTTACTTGTTATTAGCCTGCAAATTGCCACATTCACAGTATCTAGGGCCTACCACGAGGAGGTTACAGGAATAAAACACCCTACTTTTTATTTAGTTTTTACTTTTTCTTTTTAATAATTTATTTACGGAAGAAAAACTCAANAAAATTTTATGTCAAAGTGTTTTTGTGGATTTTAAGAATTCTTTAAAAATTTTACTTGTTATTAGCCTGCAAATTGCCACATTCACAGTATCTAGGGCCTACCACGAAGAGGTTACAGGAATAAAACACCCTACTTTTTATTTAGTTTTTACTTTTTCTTTTTAATAATTTATTTACGGAAGAAAAACTCAATAACTTAAAAAAAATCAAAAATGCTTTCATTATTTCATTTTTTTTGTTTTTTGTTTCCTAGAGCTATTTTAACATCTGCAATTAGATTAGTTTTGTCAAAAGAGGCAAAACTAGTTAATCTTCATCATTGTATCAATCTTGTGTAAATAGAAACTTAGACATTTTAATAGAGTGTTTCAGAGGAATTATTTGGAAAAAATTGTAAGTAATTTTTTTGTCAAGAAGTGTCGCCCTGAGTTTAAATGGTTGTAAATTATAAAATATATAAAAAGTATGCGCAACAAATAAGTAAAAACAGGAACTTTTTGCAAAAATTAATTTACTACAAAATATACAAAAATATGCAATAACGATTGAATTCCATTTTAAAAGCAGTGCCATGATTCGTAACTTTATNATTAGTTTTGTCAAAAGAGGCAAAACTAGTTAATCTTCATCATTGTATCAATCTTGTGTAAATAGAAACTTTGACATTTTAATAGAGTGTTTCAGATGAATTATTTGGAAAAAATTGTAAGTAATTTTTTTGTCAAATATAACGATTGAATTCCATTTTAAAAGCAGTGCCATGATTCGTAACTTTATAATTTTTATTTGAAGATGCCCAATAAGGGTCAAATTCACAGTGAAGTTAACTCAGAATCATGCATTTGTATCGTGTTTTAAAACAAAAAATAATTGTCAATATATTTTCTTACAGTCATTTTTGTAAGACTTATTGTTTATTTAAACAAATTCAAGAGCTAGATCTGCAGTTTTAGATTTCATTTATAAATTTATCAAACTTTTATAAATAAAGCTTACAGCACTATTATATATCTCAAACGAAAGGCAGCACGAACGATTCGTCCGAAGAGGAATGCTTCAAAAATTAGACCAGCGGCATCATTCCAGCCGGTTAAACGTAACCGAGACGATAGCAACGTAATCAATGTAAAGCAAGACGAAGATGGCCGATAAAGTAGTAAAATCGCAATCAGAGGCGTCGTTGATTTTTGGCCACTTTTTACCATGCAACGGAAGTATTTAGAAAGGATAAAAAACTATATTTAATAAATACGTGCGCCAAAAATTTTTTTTTCGGCTTCACCCGAACTAAGACTTCTTTACCCGTTTTTATTTCCTTACATACTACAGAAATTTGTATTACTATTAAAATTAAGATTAGCTTAAGAACCCTCTTCGTATTCGACTTGCTGTTCATGCTCGTCCTCGGACACGAATTTTAAAGTTAGCTAAATTCGAGCTATGCCGAACTGCTATAGGGTACTGAAGAGGAAAGCGAAACGTATTTGCCGCAATAGTTAAGAAGAGAGATACCGAAATACGTGAGTGCGAAGAGCTGGAAATACTGGCTAACAAGCAAAACGCCCAAAAATTTTACCAGAGATTTATACCATGTCCCCAACGGAGCTAACCACGTATTCATGGCTGTTGAGTTGGTTATCTGGATAACCCACTTGATTTAGCGTAGTTTCGCCATATAACAATGACAGCACTTAACCATTTCACTGAGATGGTTAAAAGCTAACCAACTCGAAACCACGTCGAAAGCCTGATACAACCCTGTGTTTTCCCGCCATCTGTGGGTCATTAGCGTTAAGATTTAAAAAAATCCGTTCCTTACTAGTGTTCGGAGTTTACTAAGATCAGATAAGATTTACTTCGGTTTTTGAAAAAAATTTGAAATCTACTCCTCTACCCCGCTTGACTTCAAATCTATTCCGTTTTTTTTTCATTCATGTTATGCCGCTCTCGGGGTTGTTTTTTGAGTGTTCACCACCGGTTTCAGTAAAAAAATTGAAAGTTCCCGTACACTTCTGCATCTGTTCTCCTGTTACTCTCACTAGAGAGAGTAAAATTGTAGTTTGACGTTTCCACAGGTTTTAGTCCGAAAAGTACTGGAACAAACTAAATGTAAAAAATTCGTTCCCTACTAGTGTTTGGGTTTAACTAAGATCAGATTAGATTTACTCCGGTTTTTGAAAAAATTTGAAATCTACTCCTCTACTCCGCTCGACTTCAAATCTATTCCTTTTTTTCATTCATGTTATGCCTTCTTGGGGCCGTGTTTTCAGTGATCACTACCGGTTTCAGTCAAAAAAATGAAAGTTAGCCAAATCTCACTGTTAAAAAGTTGTTTTTCATAGCAATGCGTCAATAAAGTAACTTCGTTACTTAATGATGTATGGCTGTAGAAATTGGCGGATGCAGAACTTTACTTAAGTTGTTAAAAAATATATGTAGAATGGAATTTATATAAAGTAGAAGAGGTTAGGATCCACCACTGGGATTAATTTTTGCCCTTCGAGAGGGGGATTGATCAGTAGTCTGTGAAATTATCATTACAGGCATTTGTCACAAAGTTTACCGCTTAATGAATTTTTGACAATGGGTCCAGCTCAGCGGAAGAAACAACCTTTATGTGTGATAGAATCGCTTGATCAGGTCTTAACGATATCCTTATAGAGAGTGTATTTTTAAATTTTTCCCAGCCGATTTGTTTCTTTTACGTGTATGCTCTTAAAGTTCCAGGATCACGAGTGTACTTAAAACTTATGTAAAGATAGTCAGATAATGAGTGCTTTGTAGACACCTGCCAATCTCATTGGTGACCTTTGACCTTGAATAATTTTTGTTAGCACCACTAGTATAATTGGGGGATTTTTTTTGCAATTGTATTTCTAAGACCTGTGCCGTTACTAATGTCATTGCTATTATTTAACACTTCCATACCATTGCTATTGCAATTAGCATTACTAACATGTAGGGCTGTGCGATTATTCGATTACTCGAGCAAGTTGGTTAATCAATTATTCGGTTAATCAATTACTCGAGTAATCAAGATTTTGATTACTCAAAACGATGATTAATCGAGTTACTTGAAATATGATTACTCAAAAACAATAATTTTTCTCGTTAAAAGAGTTTGCTTTGGAAAATGCTTATTTTCATTTCTACATTCTGTATATCAAGGCGAATTAATATAAGGTGATAGCAGGAGTACAAAAACAAAAATTTACATGTATTTTGTTTTTGCTTTGGCGGCATAAACTGTCAAAATCTGTAAGAGTGTGTGTAGAAATTCAAACAAAATTTTTCAATTTGATATCAGAAGCCGTGCGGCGAAACACATACACAAAATCAGCTGAGCTAGTAACACCACCTTATATAAATTCGCCTTGCTGTATATAAAAAAAAAAATTTGTTTTAATTTTTGAAAACAGAAACGTTGTTTTCAAAGTATCAAGGA